TCTCTATGTAGCTCAGGTCATTATTGGCAACTAGAAGCAGGACAATGCTTGACGTAAAACTTTGTACCCTAAAACTTTGGGCCAGATCCTTGGTGAGTTCTTAAAGGGGAAGGAGATAGATTATGTAGATTTAGGGCTAATCAACCTTGTTTTACAACTTTTAGCCAGACTCCTAGTAAATGATTAACATGCCTGTCTGCAGCACTGAGCAGGGGTCTGGCTCAGCAGTTTTAAAGTGATAAATGAAGATCAAGCATTGTGCTACTTTTAGTTACCAACTGGGCACCTGTAGGCCTAACTGAAGTTTACTGCATGTGTGTGTGTGTGTGTGTGTGTGTGTGTGTGTGTGTGTGCAGAAAATACATTATGCTTTTAATGAGTAACAGGTCGAGGGCTCAGGAGTTTGTTTGTCTTCTGTCCCTGTGGTGGTCTCTGACGGTGCCAGTACCAGGGAAGGTCACTGGGTCACTCTGACTCATTGTTTTAGGCAATTGAGGGTAAACTTTGCTTGTTATAATGCTGAACTGAGAGGATACCCAGAAACATTCATGTCTATCATCTTTCCTTTTTTTTTTCTTTTGTTTTTTTTTTTTTTTTTTGAGAGGGTCTTGCTTTGTAGTTTAGGCTGGCTGTGAACTGACTGTGTTACCCAAGCTGGCCTTAAATTCTCAGTGATCCTCCTGCCTCAGCCTGTCCAATGCTGGGATCACAGACATGTACCACCGCACCCAGCTAATCTTTCCTTTTTGAACATGTGATCTATAACCTTGAACTGAACATTCTCAGAAATGTGCATACCCCTACTTGTGCTTTCCCATATGTGTGTGCTCCCCAAATTGAAGCTCCGTGCTTCTTTTGTTCCAAGAGTACACTGCTTTGCACAGAACCCCAGTGCTTTCCTTACCTGCTAAAGGTAATAAAACTTGCTCCACTCATCTCCCAGTAGCATTTTTGGCTTTGTACTCGCAAACCCACAGTGTTTGGTTACAAAATTACAAAAACATAACATAATGTCCAGGGAGGGAGATAAACACATGACTAAACTACAAATACAAGCAAGAACATTATAAACACAAAATTCAGAATACCAGCTCTGAGGAAAGGGCAGGAATGGAAGGAGAAGGGGCACATCCAGGACTTCACAGGGGTTGCACTAATCCATCCATCTTCATAAGCAGGTGGTAGATTCTCGGGTATTCTATCACTTTACACACAATTTACAACTAATCATAAATACACAAGACCAGAAGAACATTCTTCTAATATAAAAACACCATTCTCATTTCCCTAATAAGTTTCTCTATGTCCTCACAGATTCTGAGAAACAAAAGTGATTTTAGGTTACAGAAGAAAACTCATGCTGGCTGATGCATGAGGCAAGGATTTAACATTTTCTCCTAGTCAGTAGAAATTATAATTTGATTATCTACTAGGTAAAAAAAATGAAAATATTGCCATGTTATTATATATAGTGTGCCAAAAATCTAGATTTTTTCATGTCCAAGGGGTTAGCAAATCTGTTTTGTGAAATAGCTTCCCTTTTAGCTCCCAGCTTTTGAGGAATGATGTCTGTATCAAAGTGGAAGCCTTCTCAGCGGGGCATAGTGATACATGCTTATAATCCCAGCACTCAGGAGACTGAAGCAGGAGGAGTTCTAGCAGCTTGGGTCTAGCCTGAGCTACATAGTAAGTGCAAGGCCAGTCTGAACTATAAAGCAAGATCCTGTCTCAAAAATAAATAAATAAATAAAAATTAAAAAAATATATATATACACATATATATGACTGAAAATAGTTTTGTTCTCACAAAAGAAATTGTATTTTATTAATTTATTGTTTCTTTTTTTTTTTTTTTTTTTTTTTTTTTTTTTTTTTTTTTTTTTTTTTTTTTTTTTTTGGTACCGGGGATCAAACTTGGGTCACTTACGCTTGTGAGGCAGGTGGCAGAACCACTGAGCTGCACCCCCGGCCCCTGAATTTATTGTTTCTAATACTGTGTTATTTTACCTTCAATTTAGAAAAAATTACTAATGATTTTATGATTATGTTCAGTCCATAGCAAGAGATATTCATTATTCTATGATTGAAATGATGTTGCCTTTTAAAATAAGTTAAAGTTTTAAAAGTAAATCAAACAATAGTATTGCTTTTGTTATAGAGAATCAAGATTTTTTTTAATTGAATTTATTGATACATTCTAGGTAGACAGTGCAGTTACATTCATTACTGGGATCTTGTACCTTTACATGGAGAATCAAGATTTAATGAACCTGTTCTTCAATAAAAAAATCATAAACTAAACACAGGGGAAAAAAGAATTTAAAGAGTTTGGAGATTGGCAGAGTTTTTAAAAGGAAAGGAAAATATGGATCACAGTTCTGGCAAAGGCTGTGCGCCCATTTTTGCAACTTCGTTCACCCAGCAGATTGGGGTCATAGAAAACCAGCCAGGCTGTGGCCTTAGGACCCAGTACAGAACATGGAACACAAGCGAACACCAAACATGAGTGAAGGGTCGTGACCAGGAGAGAGGTGAAGAGGACCCCCAGGTTCTTGAGTCAAGTCTGCCTGGTCTCAGGCTGATCCTTCTACTACAGCTACAAAACAGAAAAAGACCAAAGAAATAAACTGAGCTATAAACTATTATCAGTTTTCCATTTGAGTCTAACTAAATTAATTCACTGCTGTAACAAAAGCACCAACACTCTGAAGGATTTGTCTCCTCATGGTGCTTAGGTAGAATAGAAGAAATGAAGGTAGATAGAAGGAGACAAAGAAATCATAGCTAACAGTTGTACTTCTTGAGAAGAATGCAGCTTCTAAGACACAGCTGAAGTTACCGGAGGTCATAAATTGACTCACTCAAGGAAGTAAGATAAAGACAGTACCAGAACCAACAGTTGAGAAACAAGAGGCTCACTGCCTTCCACAGGCATTGCGGAGTTTAGGTTCTGTTTTCTAAGGTCTGGGTAGCACATCCTAACCTAACCAGACTCCCAATAGAAATCTTAACAATCAGTTTGTACATGTGTTGAGATGACCAGAGTCCTGGCAAAGGAAGTTAAAGGCAGCCAGCACAAGGCCAAACCAAAGAGGGAGTCAGAAAGATTCAGTGAAGGGTGCCAGATGACCAAAGCAATGGCACCTAGAGACGCAACAAAGATCTCATGAGAGTGGGGGGGATTTTCTTGACCAGGAACAAGATATTCATTCCCCTCCAAAGAATGTCTTTGGTGGATTTATACTGATAATTTTGGCAATGTAGTCATTTTTTGAGTATAAAATCCCTGAAGCAGTAGTCCCTGTGATGACCCTTAGGGGCCCCTCCCAGGTTCAAAGACCTGGGGATATTTGCTTTCTCTTTTGTTTTCCAACAAAGGCTGCTTTCTGCTTTTGCTCTATAATAGATACTTTTGCCCAGTGTGGACTGTACTTTCTGTCTTTGCCTAATAAATCCTACTTATGTCTCTGGTATATCCTGAAAAATCCTTTTTCTGTAACAGGAGTCAACAAGCCTGCTACAGCAGGGTGGGTTAAGTTTGGGAAACTCAGAGACCCAGCCAGGTGACAGTAGCAGGGAATGAGCCCAGGATGTTGCACATGGTAGATAAGTGCTTTACCACAGAGCTAAATCCTCGGCCTTTCTAAATTTTACTTTGTGATGGGTTCTCACCAAGTGGCCCAGACTGGTCTCTCTCTCTCTCTCTCTCTCTCTCTCTCTCTCTCTCTCTCTCTCTGTCTGGGAAAGTATCCAGAGTCTCAGAAATCCAGGAACCTGGGCATAATGGCACACATCTGTAATAGCACTCTGGAGGCTCAGGCAAGAGGGCTGCTGTGAATTCCAGGCCAGCTTGCACTACCTAGTGAGTTCAAGGCCAGCCTGGAATACATAGCAAGACTGTCTCAAAAAGAAGTTCAAGATACCATTCAAAGTCACTTGATATATAAAGAACCAGGGAAATGGTACCTAATTTCAAGGGAAAAAACAATCAACAGGCTACATCCAACACAGGATGTAGACTTACTACCTAAAAGCATTAAATTACCCATGACAACTATGCTTAATAAAGTAAAATAAAATATAAGTGAAAAAACAGAAAACCTCAACAGATAGAAAACATAAACAAGAACAAAATGAAAAATTGGGAACCTAAAATATTTATTATCTGAAATAAAAATCAATTTAATTAGTTTAATATAAGGCTACATATTACTACAAAAAAACTTTATGACATCCTACAGACTGTACAATATATGAAGGTTTAATTTGTCTGACAGCTAAAATATAAAGGATGGCAGGGGCTGGTAAATGAAACTAAATGATTGCAAGATCATTACATTTTATGGGAAAGTGTATTCTACCTAGACTGTGAAAAGTTAAGAATATATATTGTATGAGCCAGGAATTTAGCTCAGTGGTGCCACTGCCTGCCTCACAAGCTCAAGGTCCTGAGTTCAATCCCTGCCCCCCCAAAAAGAAAGAATATATATTGAAATCCTTAAAGTAACCACTAAGAGTGAAATGCCAAAGTTATAACTAAAAAGCCAATCAGTAATTTAAAATAGTTTAATGAAATTTTTAAAAGCAGAAAAGGATGAACAAGAACAAAACCAAGAAAACACAGAACAAATAAAACAGAAAAGCTAAGTCTAGTCCTATCAGTAATTACTCCAAAAATATATTTTTGGTAATGCATGGTATGCAAGCACTCTACCACAGAACTGCTCCTTCAGCCCCAATTTTAAATATTAATGGATCAAATATTCCAGTTAAAATACAAGGATTAACAAAATAGTATCAAAATGTAAGAATTTAGCATAGTAAACCTGTTTTTCTGAAAATTTCATCTTTGCAGCTCAGCTACTCTGTTGACTAAGTCCTAAGCCTTGTTCTCAACTTTATTTACCTTTCTTCGTCAGGAGAAAGTAGTGCTTTTTTACGCACTACTACAGAGGCTCTCTGGCTATCATCACTAACTTTTTTTTTTTTTTTTCTAACAGTCATACTCTGTAGCCCAGGCTGCCCTTGAACTCAGAGCAACCCTTCTGCCTCAGTCCCCGGAGTGCTGAGATTACAGGCATGTGCTATGTCAGGAATGAGCCTTCCAACTGGCACCAGGAGGGGTCCAGTATCCTGTGAGGGTCCCTGGAAAGCAATCAGAGTTGAGATCCATGAAAGCAGCAGGAGCAGGTGAGCCAGATCTGAAGAGCTCAAGAACTGCTCATCTTTATTCATTCAACCCTTTCCTTATCAGACGTACCAGACATTACATCGTGGTGTCCTGACATGACCATGTTTTACATGCATAGTTGTCTATGTTAAGTCATTCTTACATAACAGTCTCCCATTGTGTGCATGCCCCTAACAGCAGGGTTGTGTCCTTAGGTATCCTCAGGTGCCCTCAGGCTTTGAGTCCATTAGCAGTGGTTCCCCACTTCCCACACCCTCAAAGATCAGGGGCATATCATTTTTATTAGTGGCCCATAGTGCTGACCCTATGTAACATGTAATCACTCATTGACTAAAGTCTTTTCCCTCTGTGTTTGCAGAGGAGGTCAACTAGACCGTAATCTTCCTCTGGTCTATGTATTCTTGTCTAATTGTACCAATTTAGTTGTTCCCTCTAAGGAAGCACCCTCCAACTGCCGTAAAGGGTGATGTGCAAAGATTGATCGGGCTTCTTTCTGTTGAAGGGTCATAGTTGCTATTGACAATTAAAGACCTTTCTTAAAAGGCCTAGCTAAAGTCCTCTGCCAGGCAGGGCTCCACAATAGTGGAGTTTTCTGCCTCCTGGATAGTTTTCTCCAGTTGCTATCTGGGAGAAAGCTGTCATTGTCAAGGGAAAACTCTCATGTCATGTCCCTTCACTAGTATCTAAATCATCTGTTTATTTCTTGTAACCACACAAACAAGTTTGGTACGCATCTAACATGTGTGCCCAGGAGATAATGCTGTCCATGTGACTCCATTATAGGGAGATCCCATCCTTCTGAGAGGATGCATTTTATCTCAAGTTTCCTTTTATTATTTCAGGACCTTGTTCTGTGAGTCAGGTATGTGAACTGGTCAGCTGTGCTTTTAAGAGGGATCTAATGGGCTGTTACCCATACTCTGGGGTCAGTGTCCTATCTGTTACTTTTGGGTCACCCAAGCCAGTAACCAAAGTGTCACCCTTGGTATACAGCCCAACTGTCCATGTAAACACATACAGGTTCATCCTCATGCCTGTAACTCTGCCCATTGGCTCAACTTGTCTGTCCTGGTTTTAAACCAGAGTACTTTTATACTAAGCTGGACAGCAACTGTTGTCCATTGTAGAGTTGTGCCATGGCTATGGCCATCAGTATACTAGGCCTCAGCCAGAGGTGTCTATTTCCCTTCTGCATAGGAGCTAGGTGTCATAACCTGTAGTCTCTCATCTTGTACAGTTTCCTGAGTCATACATATATCATGGGTGCCAGGACCTAGCCCTTTACTGGGTATCTAGTCTGTACTTCCACAATCTATTGTAGCATGATTCCTTCACAGGCATGTAGAACAGTATACATCACTGCTAATGGTTTCCTAATCAGGGTGCAGAGCAGAGTCCATCACCATTTCTCATTCAGAGAATACCAACTATTAGCTTTTTTCTACAGTTGTGACCAAAAGAATATAGAGTGCTTCCTCTTCCCTTGCTTTTATCACAAACACCAGCCAAACCTATCCTCATCTACATTTACAGTAAAGGTAAGAGGCAGGGTTGGATCAATAATTTAGAGGGCTTGTACTCATGCAATTGCCCGGTTTTGAGTCCTGAAAGCAGCTTCTGCTGCATCTGTCTAGTCTCATGTTGCCCCCTTCTGGGTTGTCTGGTATTACTTTTGTTTCACTCAACCAGGCAATACTTAAGAATTGGACAAGCCAGCTCCCTGCATTGTAGATAAGTAAATTAATTTGACAACATGTAGGCAATTAGACAGGGCCAGCCCTGGAGGAGCCAATACGGAGGGCAGTGGAGATACATTCACTGAAAGCCAGCACTGTAAAAGAAGAGAAACCACCACACCCACATAGCATGAATAGCAGTGATTTATATTCTAAATAGGTATCAATCACCTTAGTGGAGGACCAAGATCTTCCAAGAAAGATCCCTGACTCACCCCTTACCACTGAAAATCCTTGCTCCTTCCTTGTATACTTGCTACATGACTTGCTTCCCTATTGGATTCTCCACTTAAACAATATTACATAAGTGATTATATTTGTCATAGTCTTATTGGTTGTTCATAGTTTTGTCCACTTTTTGATTTCTCGCTGGATCAATATTACCTGTGACTGTATTTGTAAGCTTACTAGTTGACTCTAGTTTTGTCCCACCTTGAACCTGCCTTGCCTCACAGCTTTGTCCCATAAAACACCTTTGAGAAATTGGGTGAGTGGGCAAGCCACTTTCTGGACCCTCTTCTGTCTCTTGTAGACAGAAACTGTCTTTCTCTCAATAAATTTTTCTTACTCTTAACCTCTATTGTTCCTAGAATTCATTCTTTGATTTTAGAGAACACGAACTCACACTTTGGATATCTAGCTGATTTGGGAGTTAGTTACATCTCTTCCCCCTGTATCACCTGGACCTTGTTGTTTAATGGCCCACCCCCAGGCCAGCAAAGATTCTTTCACACTGTGCAGTGGCTTTCAGATCTGTAAGGCAATCAGAGGTTAACATAATATCAACAGCAACACAGAGCAAGGCTCCATCCAGGTGGCCAAGTCCTGGGCCACCAAGCTATGACACAGAGTTGGGCTATATATATAGCCTGTGGTAACACCTAGAAGTTTACAGTCTGCCCTCCAAGCAATGGAAGAGTCACTTTGTTTAGTTCCCGGTAGTCAACAGTCATTTGCCAAGTTCCTTCTGGCTTCCATATGGGCCAAACAGGTGAATTGAAAGTGGTTTGTCTTATCTCCATATGGCCTCCAGGTAACCATGTAAATTTGTAAATGGAATTGTCCCACACAGTATCAACCTAAGCATCAATCAGAGCCCAAGGGCAAGGCTGATGTTCAAAGTCACTTTGGCCTTCCTGCTGGGCGCTTGGCCAAGAGTAAATCTTTTATCCGCCCTATGATCATTTCCTGGGTCTGTCCATCTATGTTATCTGTGGCTAGGCCAGCAGCTATCAGACCTGTCCAAATCTGGCATCTGCTTACCTTTAGCATCCGCACCTGTCCCTGAGGGGCTGTTTCCATCAGCCAGAAGCTGCCCACCCACCCCTTTTTTCTAAATGACTGAGTTCCCGTAGGTTTTGCCTTACCTGGCATTTTAGTTTTATGTCATCAAGCCATGAAACTTCCTTGTTTCTGGGCTTGGCCTCTATGTGGGATTTAATGCTGCCTCCAAAAGACTTGGGCAGCCCTGCCCCTTCAGCACTGCTAGCTCAGAGCTTCAGTCTTGGACTGGCTTTGGTCATTCCTTACAGCTTTCTTCAGATTGTCCATGCTCCTGGCTTTTCCAACCAGGAAATGTAAACTGGGATCATCACTAAACTTTCAGCTTCACTGTCTGTCTGAGTTATTTTATTATTGCTTGAACAAAACACTGGACATCCACAAGTTAAAAGAGGAAAAGTTTATTCTAGTTCACAGTTTGTGGAGGTTTCAATCCGTAGTCAGCTGGCTTTAATGTAGGATAGCACAGTGAAGAGGCAGAGGAGAACATGGTATAGCAGGCCAGAAGCAGCAACTTTCCTTCAGCTTTTCCTTTTATTCCATCCAGACTCCAAGACTATTGGATGGTATCACTTATACTGTAGGTGGGTCTTCCCTTGTCTGTAAATCCATCACCCACACCTAGAACTGTGCTAAACCAATCACTGGACTAATTCTCCTCCAACCAGGCTTTACCTTCCAAGTCACATTTAGCTGCAAACTCATCAGTGAATTAATCCACTGTTGAATATCACATCCCATGATCTAGTCATCTCTCCAAAGTCCTACCTATGAACACATGTGGTTTTAGGGGGATATCTGGATATAAACCATAACAAGAGGTATTAATTTGAAAATAGTGAATTATATTTCTGAATGATTGGGTCCTGAGAAAGTTGATCATAAGGTTCCTTGGAATTTAACTGTCTTCTGGAGAAATTAGAAACTGAATTCCTCTCAGTCTCGCAATGGGATCCTTTTGTACCTCCCCATATCTTTTCAGATCCCTAGTACTGTTTCTGTGCTTCCCTCTGGGATTCTGTGTGCTGTTGCTTCCAAGGCCCACATAGAAGACCTTTGTAAGAAACTCCCCTTGGGCCACTGTAATTTCATATGCCCAGGAAAAGAGCAAGAAACACCCAGGTCCCACTCCCTCCCTGGACTTCTACTCTCACCATTTCGAGTAGCAGATGTGCTGAGAGTGTGGAAGCCAGGCTCCCTTCACTGTCACTGATTCCTGGAGTTCAGGCTAATCCACCCTTTCCCCTTCCCAGTTTTGGTACCGGGAATTGAACTCCTCGGGTGTTTGCACTTGCGAGGCAGGCAATGGAACTGCTGAGCTAAATCCCTGGCTTCTCTTCCCACTTTCTATTGTGAATGCTGCTAATGTAAATCACCAGTATATGAATCCTATTGATAGCAAGTATGCATTAGAGAATCTAAGACAATGAACTTTTTAGAATTTTATTCCTTCTGTTTATGTTAAAATTTTGATATGACTTTTAATAATACTTTCAGGAGTGGAGAACCAAGATTTTATTCTTGCTCTTAGGAGGAGAATAGAAAAGTTATCCCTTAAGAAGTCACTGAGTCAGTTTCCCATGAAATTTGGGAGCCTGTAATGAGTGAAAATTTGAAGGAGCACAAGTGAAGAAGGGAGGGCAACCCAGTGATAGATGTAAGTTAAATGGGAGCATAATGAGAACAGATTGTAAGTTTGGTATGGGCTGGTGCTGGAGAAACTAAAGAGGGAGTGAAGGGCAAAGAAAGTGATGACATGAATAGGGGAGTGACATGACCTTCACATCACCTAAAATTGCCTGGTATCATCAAATTTTAAATGGCTTGCACCTAGTTTCTGGCTGCACCAAATTTATGAATGCATAACACTTGCCACAAGGTGGTGCTCTGACCACATTTGCTGTCACAAACTGCTTTTCTGGGAGCTTTGCAGTTCCCCCTGCTTTCAGGCTTCCAGGGCTCTAACTAGAGGTCTGTCACAC